GTCTCTGAAATAAATAAATAAAATCTTTAAAAAAAATAAAAAAAAGAATGCTTTTTCCTTGTAAATCACTAAGACATTGGAAAACTAATAAAAAAAAAAAAAAAAAGGGACTGTGATCTCTATTAGTTAACCGTTTGTTTTTCCCTTCCCTTGGCTTTAGGGCAGCCAGCAGTACCTGAGGAATGTCATACACATCCCACCCAGGAGGGGTAAAAAAAAGAAAAAAAAGTGTCAGCTTGTGCTTTGCCCTCAGCTTGCCTTCTGCTCCCTCAAAAAAAAATAAAAAAAAGAGGTATCATGCCTTCCTTGTTCACCAGCAAAACTTCTAAAGTTAAAAAAAACAAAAAAAATTATCTCTTGAATGTTTGAAATGGAGTTAGAATATCACAAGAAAAAAAAAAAAAAAAAAAAGCTGGGTGGGGCTTTAGCACAATCTCCCCTAAAAAAAAAAAAAAAAAAAAAAAAAAAAAAAAGGGAGTTTTGACGTAATGGGAGTAGGGATGAGTCTAGCTGATTAAAAAAAAAAAAAAAAACTGCAGTTATCTCTAGATAAATGAAAATCTTAAGGGAATTCTTGTCATTTAGATATATTGTTAAAACCTGATACAAACTGGTTCCTTAAAGTCAGAGCCCAGGTAAAAAAAAAAAAAAAAAAATGCAACTATTGGAACTTAAAATAGGGTGAATTTAAAACAATATAAAACTAGGGGCGCCTGGGTGCTTCAGTCTGCTGAGCATGACTCCTGATTTTGGCTCAGGTCATGATATCAGGGTGGCGAGATCCAGCCATCCCTTGCACTCTGCACTTAGCAGGGGGGTAAAAAAAAAATAAAAAAAATGTCCTTCTGCCGCTCCCCCCACTTTTTCTCTCTCTCTAAAATAAAAAAAAAAAAAAAAAAAAAGAAGTTTTAAAACAATTTAAAACTCATCATCATTTGAAAAAAAAAAAAATAAAAAAAAAGTAGTGAGACAAGACTCTGACTCAAAAGTACCATAAAAGGAAAAAAAAAAAAAAAAAAAAAAACAAGTGTATTAGAAAAACGAAACTAATTAAGGTACCCTGAAGTCTCAGGGTAACTTCCCCTGAAGTCTCAGATTCAGGGGAACGGGGGAAGGGGCTGTGAGTTCCGTCCACGGCCATGATTACTTGTGTCTGCGGGATCCTTGAAGAACTTTACCTGTCTCCTAAAAAAAAGAAAAAAAATTTAACTTCTTGCCCTCAGGTGCTGACAAGGAAGTTAGCAATGTAAAAAAAATAAAAAAAAGAGACATAACAGTCAAGGCCTCCTACCACTCGCTTTAGTAATTTAAAAAAAAGAAAAAAAAAGCTAACTTAGAAACCAATCAGCGGCGTACTGGGATCTGGCAGTGCCGCCACACTGTCCTGCAGGCAAAAAAATAAAAGACAGAGATCCAATTAGTGCTTATGTTAAAAAAAAAAAAAAAAATTCATCTAGCTTGGGTTTTCCTTCTTTGGGGAGCCTTCTGTGTTAAAAAAAATAAAAAAAAGCGACTGAGAAGCCTGCTCGGGCCCCCCACCGACCGCCGGTCCCACCCGGAGGACGCCCCTGGCTCCAGGCGGGGAGCTCGGGTCCGAGGCCTCGCCCACACGCAAAAAAAAAGAAAAAAAAAGCTCCGCGGACTCGGGGTAGGGCAGTGTCGTCGCGGGTCCGCCAAAAAAAATAAAAAAAACAGACACAACCGCTACCGGTAAATTATGTTTCCCGCCAGACAGCTGGTCGCCTCGCCCTTTTCCGGAGCGCCTGCGTGTTGTCATAGAAACCCAGGACCCCGAGCTTTGGCAACCCTCACTGGGGGCTGTCTTCGGCGGTGCCGGCGCAGGAGGGGGGCTGCTAAAAAAAAAAAAAAAAAAAAGATGCGGTGGTTTTCACCACAGCATAGGTTCAGCAGCAATAGAGAAAAAAAATAAAAAAAAGAGCCGTTCTCACGGAGCGCGCAAGCGACTCGATCCCGGCGCTTAAAAAAAAAAAAAAAAACCAGTGCGCAGGCGCCAGCGGTGGCCGGGGTTGCTTTCGCGTCCCCGGGGACGACCTTCGCGGCACCCGGCGCCAGATTGGAGCCAGCATCCCGGAAGAGATTTGAAAAAAAATAAAAAAAACCCACTTTTTTGTTGTTTTTCCTATTTTTCTAAAAGCCAAATCCAAAAAAAAAAAAAAAAACCAAAAGCTCTGGGTTCCCATCTGTTGAGGCTTCCTTGCGGATGAAAAAAAAGAAAAAAAACTCTTGGTTGTCTTCCTTGGGCACTTACGCACAACCCCCACCCCAAAAAAAACAAAAAAAACATTCTTAGGTCGAGGATTTTTTTTGGCTGGAGGCAGGGAAGGAAAAAAAAATAAAAAAAAAGCCAACCCAAGTAAAATTGTTGGGGCTTCCCAAAAACCTGTTCAAAAAAAAGAAAAAAAAAGACGCATTAGCAAGGAAGAGTTGAAATCCCGCCCCTTACCGCCACCAGGGATCATTTTCTGTTAATATGGACCCTTGGGGCGCCTGGGTAGTTCAGTCGGCTGTCTGCCTTGGGCTCAGGTCATGATCTCAGGGTCCTGGAATCCAGCCCCACATCGGGATCCCTGCTCAGGAAGAGACTGCTTCTCCCTCCACCCCCTGCTCGTGCTCACTCACTCTCAAATAAAAAAAAAAAAAAAAAAAAAGCCCTAGCACTATTATGAACAAATTCCCTAATACCGCTCACTAAAAAAAAAAAAAAAAAAGTGGAGCCTTAATGCCAAATAGTACGAGTGGAATCCCAGTGTCTAAAAAAAACAAAAAAAACAAATAAACTTGAGAAGGGAGGATAACTTGTTCAACCGTCCTATTCCTTAGGACCAAGCACAGTGCCTGGCCCAAACTACCTGGTGTTTGAAAATCCATTGGACAAAAAAAAAGAAAAAAAAGATTTGGTCTCTGGTTTCTGGTTTTCAGGATAATAGCAATGATAAAAAAAAAGAAAAAAAATGAGCAAAGTGTTAAAAATAAAAACAACACACAATCTTGTGTGCAAAAAAAACAAAAAAAATTTGAATTCGCTCTTGGTTTCGGCTCAGGCCACGATCTCATGGGTGGTGGGACCTCTGCAATGTGGGGGAGGGAGGTCGGCTTGAAGGTTGGCTCCTGTCCCTCCAAAAAAAACAAAAAAAATCTGTAAAACACACACACACACACACATATAGTCTCGATGGCCCAAAAAAAATAAAAAAAACAAACACCCTGGCTAGCTGAGCATTTTAGCCTTTAGCCATATCCAAAAAAAATAAAAAAAATCTAGATTTTCCAAGAATCTAGAGAGACAACACTCACATAGCACAAAAAAAATAAAAAAAAAGAACTGGCAATGATCAAACAGGTGAAGGGCAAAAGCAATGCACAAAAAAAAGAAAAAAAACTTTCCTCCAGTTTATGTGCCTTCTGCTTTCCTCACTGGTGGCGTGACTCTACATTCTAGTTTGGAACCGTAACCAGAAGACTGAACTTCGGAGATCCTAAAATTAAAAAAAACAAAAAAAAGTTTATCAAGACTTTGGGTACTGGAAGAACAAGATAACTGATCTAAAAAAAACAAAAAAAAGTTTAAAAAAAATCTAAGTAAGGGACTGATAGAAGAGATGAAGAAAAAAAAATAAAAAAAAGAGACACATAGAAAGTAAAATCTATAGAATTTGGTAAGTGATTGAAAAAAAAGAAAAAAAAAAAAGACATCAAAGGTTACTTCTCATTATATCCTGTGCAATGGTAAAAAAAAAAAAAAAAATTCCTGAGTAAAGGTCTGCATTAAAGTTGTAGAAGTATATGAAGAAAAAAAACAAAAAAAAATAAACACTTAAGAATTATTACACTAAGACCATAGCTATTGAAGAAAAAAAATAAAAAAAATGGGAAACTCCTCGTAATTTTGTTTTGTTTTGTTTTTAAAAGATAAAAAAAATAAAAAAAAGAGAGAGCGAGAGAGACAGAGAGCAAGCACAAGCAGGGGGAACAAAAAAAAAGAAAAAAAAAGGCTCCCTGCTAAGCAGGGAGCCCAATGCGGGACTCAATCCCAAAAAAAAAGAAAAAAAACCTGAGCTGAAGGCAGCCACTTAACTGAGCCACCCAGGCACCCTAAAAAAAATAAAAAAAAATAGCAAGGGAACCCTAAAGCCACCCAGGCACCCTTCTCATAATAAAAAAAAAAAAAAAAAGAACCCTAAAGAGAGAGGTAAATTATTATTGAGGTCTTTGGTGGAAAAAAAAAAAAAAAAATCCAAGATGAGCAGGTAATAATTTTCCTAAATGTAAAACATCATAAAAAAAAAAAAAAAAACCGTAGTTGTAATAAACAGGGCGAACTGCGCTTGTTGACATTGAAAAAAAAATAAAAAAAATTAACAAACACCCAACTCAGCAGTAGGGTCCTCTGGCTTCAAGTAAAAAAAAAAAAAAAAATGTTATTGTGATCACCAAACATGCCCTGAGCTGGGGAAAGGAACAAAAAAAAAAAAAAAAATTTGCACCAACCTTTTAACAATTCAGGTTTTTTTTTTTTTTTTTAAAAAAAATAAAAAAAAACAACAAGCAGGGAGAGGGGCAGAGGCAGAGAATCTTAAGCAGGAAAAAAAATAAAAAAAAAGCCCTAGGTGGGGCTCAATCTCATGGCCCTGAGCCAAAATCAGAAAAAAAAAAAAAAAAAACCCAGGCACCCCTTACCAATTCAGTTTCTAAGTGTGTGGGCAGAAAAAAAACAAAAAAAAGTGGGCACTTACAAATAGTATGCATAGCTTCCTGAAGGAGTCTGAAAAAAAAAAAAAAAAATATTTGTACTTAGTGTAGCTAAAGATTGAAGGTATCAAGTGTTGTGAAGGAGATACTGAGAAAGAAATCTAGGCACTGCCCAGCCAAGCGCCTCTCAGGGGAAGAAAAAAAAATAAAAAAAATTCCACAGGACATTCCTAAAACTGAAATGATGCCTCAGCTTGTCAAAAAAAAGAAAAAAAACAGTTAAGTACCTTCCTTCTGATTCCACATGGGTGTGCCTACAGAAAAAAAATAAAAAAAATTTTTGTTCACAAGCATATCTTCAGTACACAGCACAGTACCTGGAAAAAAAAGAAAAAAAAGTCTAGAAGAAATTCATCTTTCACATCATACCATAAATCGGGCTAAAAAAAAGAAAAAAAAGTCAGCAACCGTGCCAACCTGATTGATTTCTCATGGTGTATTTAAAAAAAAATAAAAAAAATCATGGTATAGTTACAAACTGGTATTCCAGTGAACTTCATTTATTGGAGTCCAGATGCAAGCTGAGCCTAAAAGGTCAGGACCCTCAACTTCAGTAAATTCAAGGAAAAAAAACAAAAAAAACTTTTGCCCCTGGTGCCAAAGAATACTCACTTGGTCCAAGAAACAAAAAAAAGAAAAAAAAATTTCTGAAGGGACTTCCCCCTTCCCACTCCTCTGGCCCTGCAGAAAAAAAAGAAAAAAAACAGAGCATGGAAGATTAGAGGACTTCTTAGCTATTAGTATGATGAAAAAAAAAAAAAAAAAACGTTGTGATGTCAAATCCTACTCATAATGGGTTCCTATTACGAAAAAAAAATAAAAAAAAAGGAAAGCAATGAATCTTGCTTCAAAATCAGTTTCCCCAAGTCTAAAAAAAAAAAAAAAAATTCCCAACCAACAGATTTGCCACCTCTCATTAGAAGACTAAGTCAAAAAAAACAAAAAAAAGGGAGGAGGTGGGTACATTTTTAGAAATAGCCATTCACGTGTTTAAAAAAAACAAAAAAAAAAGGAATAAAGCAACAAATAATGACCACAATAAAGAGAGGAGGCAAAAAAAATAAAAAAAACAACTGGGCCCTATCATTTATTAATTTGTTATCTTAACATGGCTAAAAAAAAAAAAAAAAAGATAAGAAAGTTATTTGCCTTCTCTTTGGCTATACTCAGCACATAAAAAAAACAAAAAAAAAGATGAAAAACATCTGGGGCTCCTGGGTGGCTCAGTTGGTTAGGCTTTTGCCTTTGGCTCAGGTCATGATCCCAGGGTCCTGGGAATGAGTCCCACATCAGGCTCCCTGCTCAGCGGGGAGTCTGCTTCTCCTTCTGCCCCTCACCCTGCTAGTGCTCTCTCTCTTAAAAAAAAGAAAAAAAATTAAATCTTTTAAAAATTAAAAGTGAAAAACATCTGTAATTATGAAAAAAAAAAAAAAAAAATAAATTACTTTTAAAAACAACAGAGACTACTTTTTTTCCAAATAAAAAAAATAAAAAAAATCTTCACATATGCAATATTTTGCCATTTTGTATGTAGATTTTAAAAAAAAAATAAAAAAAAGCATACTGAAAGTGATAGTACCAGTGATTAGATAAACAGGGCAGAAAAAAAAGAAAAAAAATCCTGAATAGAAATTCTGGAAAAGAGCAAACACGACAGAATTAGAAAAGACATTTTTAATTATAGAGAAACTTTTAAAACCTCCTCAGATGTCCATGACCTCTCTGCTGCCTGAAAACACAATGGATTTAAAGCACAAGCTGGACAAGTGTAGACACAGGAAGGAAGCAGCCGCACAGGCCCAAATGGCGGAGCCGTGGCTGGAGAGGGAGCGCTCTTCTCACCCAAAAAAAAAAAAAAAAAAACACGGGAATTCAAACTGTATCCCTAAGTGACCGCATGCACAAATAAAAAAAAGAAAAAAAATTAGTTAGAACCATGAGAAAGCACACCTACCACTTCACTAAAACAAAAAAAACAAAAAAAACAGGGGATGACCTGCTAGCTTAAAGGTTAGCACTCCCTTGGGAAAAAAAAAAAAAAAAAAACATTTAGAAAAACAGGAATACAGAAGAGGAAGCTTTAGTTGTTTAAAAAAAATAAAAAAAATATCACTTCTGAGATTAACCCTTTTTCTCAAATCCAAATTAGCTAAAAAAAAGAAAAAAAAAGGGGAGCCTGGGTGGCTCAGTCATTAAGCATCTGCCTTTGGCTCAGGTCATGATCCCGGGGTCCTGGGATCAAGATCCGCATCCGGCTCCCTGCTCGGCGGAAGAAAAAAAATAAAAAAAATGCTCCCCCTGCTTGTGTTCCCTCTCTTGCTGTGTCTCTCTCTGTCAAATAAATAAAATCTTAAAAAAAAAAGTCTTTATGCTTTACAGAAAAAAAGTGGGAACTAAAAAAAAAAAAAAAAATAGATTATATAGATTGTACAGCTTTCCAGTTTTATCATTACTGAAAAAAAAACAAAAAAAAAAATTTAGGGTGAGAAAGAGCATGGGCGGACGAAGCAAAAAGGAAAAAAAAATAAAAAAAACAACCAGAGCTGAAACCATGTTTTACCTCCTTTATAAACAGGGTAAAAAAAATAAAAAAAATGATAGAAACTTTAGTGATGTTAGAAACTACTCGAATGCTTATAAAAAAAAAAAAAAAAAAACTCATTTTATTCTTCAGAACCTTTACGTCCCAGTTTCTTCAATAAAAAAAACAAAAAAAAAAAGCTTAGAGTTTAAGATACGTAAAACGGTGACCAAGGCAGATAAAAAAAAAAAAAAAAATATGCACACATATATAAACTGTATTATAAAAACTATGTAAGTCAAAAAAAAATAAAAAAAAGGTTTAGTAAGCAAGTCCATTACACGTTATTAACAAAAGTATGAAAAAAAAACAAAAAAAACTATAAGCATTGTTTATACTGGCAAAATTAAGGCCTCATTAGTTAAAAAAAACAAAAAAAATTCTAAAATTTAACTATAAAGTATACACACTAGTTCTAACACTTAAAAAAAAAAAAAAAAATAGACATGCTTTTCTTTTAGAAGCCTACCCTTATGCTAAACAGAAAAAAAAAAAAAAAAAATTGGAGGTGGAAACAGAAGTGCCTTTGATAATCTTGTTAAATTCAAAAAAAATAAAAAAAAGACTGTTCCATCTTGTCACTCCCATTATGGGAGTGCTCATTTTAAAAAAAAAGAAAAAAAAGGCATTCACATCATCACGAGTCTATTTAAATAAAGCACATATTCAAAAAAAAGAAAAAAAAAAACATTCACATTTTTAAAAGATTCCAATGAGATAGTAAGGATTAAAAAAAAGAAAAAAAAGACGGTAAGAAGATAATGAGGCCCTTTTCCTGCCAGGGCCAGTGTTTTGCAACAACCCTTTGAGGTAGTTATTGCCCCCATTTTACAGATGAGTAAAACTGTGGCTCTAATAAAGCAACTGTGCCCATTGTCACACTGCTAGTAAGGATGGGGCCATCTTAAACATCTGTGCATGCCTTTTTGCTGCACCAGTGGTTTTCCCACTGGGTATTTGGGAATAGGAGAAAATGGCTGTCCCAAACAACAGGACTCCAGCCCTGTGTCCCAATCTCAACCAGAAGCAGCTATAAAAAAAATAAAAAAAATGCTGGGCTTAAGTGTAACAATCTTTTTTTATGGTTTCATAACTAAAAAAAACAAAAAAAACCACCCGGTTACTACAGTTGTGTTAGTTTACCTTCATTATTTTTAAAAAAAAAAAAAAAAAAACTTTACTCAAAATTACTCATGACCACACAAAACAAACATCTTAAAAAAAAAAAAAAAAAAACAATTCATAAATTAGATCTTTTTAGGCTACATAACCCACATGAAAAAAAATAAAAAAAAATAATGTTCTATTAGGCTTTCTATAAAGAATTCAGGATTCCATTAAAAAAAACAAAAAAAATTTTAAAATTCAATGAAAACTGCCTACACTAAATCAATGACTTGAAAAAAAAGAAAAAAAATTGCAATTATAGAGTATTTACTGTACCTTCTTCACCTGCCAATGAAAAAAAATAAAAAAAAACAACTAAAAGGAAAAAGCATTTCCCCCACTCATGCTTCCAAAAAAAAAAAATAAAAAAAAAAAGGTTAAAAGCAACCTGAATTTTCCAATTAAATTCTAACGTAAAAAAAAACAAAAAAAATAGGCAATTTTAGGAGATTAATCCACCAAAAAAACCAAAGAGCTAAAAAAAACAAAAAAAACCAGGACTGAGAATGAAACCATCTAACAGATTCGAAACAAAGTTAAAAAAAAAAAAAAAAACTTAGAGAAAACACCCACAATAATGGCTACTATCATTAATACTTAAAAAAAAAAAAAAAAATTAAAGTCTTTTCTTTTCAGAAGGGAAAAAAGTATCATCCTGTAACTAATTTTCACTCCTATTAGCAAAAGAGGGGGAAAAAAATCAATAAATCTTCCTGAAACAAAAAAAAAGAAAAAAAATATTTAGGAGTGTAGGTAGTGGTTTAAATAAAACGATTTTTGCTAAAAAAAACAAAAAAAAAGACCATGGCTATCAAACTAGTTTCTGTCACTGAAAGTAACTATAAAAAAAAGAAAAAAAAAAAACTTCTTAGGGCAGTCTTATTGTTCTAAAAAGTCCTTAGTTAAAAAAAATAAAAAAAATCACCTCAAGGTCTTGGGCAGGGGAAAAAAAAAAACACTAATAAAAAAAAAATAAAAAAAAAAACAAACAAACAAACTCACCAGCCTTCATCAGTCCTACAAATAAAAAAAAAAAAAAAAAAACAGAGCAACAAAATCAATGAGCAATGAGAATGTAACATTTACAAAAAAAAACAAAAAAAAAGATCAAAGAGTTCCATTCTCTCCCTTCAGTCGATGACTTATTCAAAAAAAACAAAAAAAAGTCTGGTTTTCTTAACTCCCTCATTATATTTAAAATGTAGTCCCAAAAAAAAAAAAAAAAAAGTCATTTTAATTTTTAATAAAAATACCAGAGATTACAAGATGTACTAAAGCAGTCTTGTTTGGAGGTTATGACTCTATCACAATTACAACACCACTGTGCAGACAAAAAAAACAAAAAAAATGTGAACTACTTTTTAAGAAATGACCTCGTGTCACATGCACTTTAAAAAAAAAAAAAAAAATTTTATATTTGAAAATTGCCTAAACTCATCTGGATCCTGATGAAAAAAAAAAGAAAAAAAAGCCGGGTACTTGTGGTACAAATTAAGTTGTAACTACTAAGAAACAAAAAAAACAAAAAAAAGACACTCAAACTGACTTCAAAACAATTCTAAAAAGATGTCCCAAAAAAAAAAGAAAAAAAATAGGGCTATTAGAATACCAACAAAGCTTCTCAAGTTGGCTACTCAAAAAAAAAAAAAAAAATTGGGTAATTCTTAAGTCTCCCTTCTCTGGGTGGAAAATTCAACAAAAAAAACAAAAAAAAGCCATTCAATGGTCCGTCTTTACAAACATAATCACACCTCACACAAAAAAAAAAAAAAAAACCTGCACACCATACTGTATTAGCAATGGGCATCTTATAACATGGAAAAAAAACAAAAAAAATACATTTTCTTGAAAATGATCACATATTAATTTGTTTCACCTAAAAAAAAAAAAAAAAAAAAGTGTAATAATTGAGCAGTGCAGAAGCCAGCTTCTGGATCTTTAAAAATCACTTTAATATTAATGGAGGTGATTAATACTTAAATGTTACAGACTTACTAGCCTGCCAACTATTTCAAGTCAGTATTTATTAAACAATAAGTTTACCAAAGGTACTTCTAAATAACAAAAAAAAAAAAAAAAAAGTTTAAACAAAAAAAAGTTATCTTCCACATAAGTTCCATGATAAAAAAAAATAAAAAAAAGATTGACTCAGCAAGTCTTTTTAAAAATTACTTTGGAAGTTGTAAAAAAAAATAAAAAAAATTTGTCCTGTGCACTTCTTTCTGTTCCCTCACTATGTAAGATTTAAAAAAAAAAAAAAAAAATTCAAGGTGAAAGGTATAATCTTGCTTCACAAAAATCATGACCAAAAAAAAAAAAAAAAAACAGGTAAAAATTGAGTAGAACTGAACTTCTTTCCAAAAAAAATAAAAAAAAGAAAAAAAACAAGATTATCTCTGGAAATGAGAGATTTTCGCTCTACGAGAGATAACAAAATGTTCCACATTATTTTCTTTTCTTTCCTAAGTACATAGTTAATTAGCATACATTCCAACAGTGTGCCTGAAAAAAATTTCTAAGCCTGAAATATTTAAATGATTTCTTCACAAGTAAAAAAAATAAAAAAAAGGCCATGGAAACATGGTGTTTAGTCACAATGTTTAGATGGGAGTAAAAAAAAAAAAAAAAAGCAAAAATCTGTCATTATGTCAGCTGTGTAAGTCTCCCTTCTCCAAAAAAAATAAAAAAAAAAAAAAAAAAAAAAAAGTACTGCTTTAAGTGCACAAGATTCCAGAAAAAAAACAAAAAAAAAGCTGACCTAGGAATGGAGCAAGCCATCTGTAAAGCGCAGAGTGAAAAAAAAAAAAAAAAAAACTTCAGTAACAGCTGGAAACAGATGCTGGCCCCAGATTAGGCAAAAAAAACAAAAAAAATGTCAAGGAATGAAACAAAGTCCAAGCTTCTAAAACACGTAACGAAAAAAAAAAAAAAAAAGCCGGATATAATCCAGAAATGTGGGCTTCAACGGGGAAAGAAGAAAAAAAAAGAAAAAAAATTGCACGCACATGTGCACGAGGTGTCGGGGTATACAGGGGGTGTAAAAAAAATAAAAAAAACACCTCTACAATGTCTCCCAGCATTTCAGTAACCTTTAAGCTATAAAAAAAATAAAAAAAAAAAAGATGTTCATTATTTTTATCTACAACACAGATTACAGTGATAAAAAAAAGAAAAAAAAAGCTTTCAAAGTCCAGTAAGCTCTATACAATTACACGGACTTCTAAAAAAAATAAAAAAAAGCACTACCTCTCTTTTGGATCTTGCATTTTATTTTAGCACAGACAAAAAAAAAAAAAAAAAACATCTAAATTGTAGTAGGGTAAAAGGATGATAAAATATATATAAAAAAAAAAAAAAAAAATTTAGAATTACTAAATTATCTAAATGAGAACAGATGAAGCACTAAAAAAAAACAAAAAAAAGAAAAAACTGGAGCAAGAATCTGAAAAAGCTGGGGCGCCTGGGTGGCTCAGTGATTAAGCGTCTGCCTTCGGCTCAGGTCATGATCCCAGGGTCCTGGGATCAAGAAAAAAAACAAAAAAAATGCTCCGCAGGAAGCCTGCTTCTCCCTCTCCCTCTCCCACTTCCAAAAAAAATAAAAAAAATCTCGCTATCTCTCTCTGTGAAATAAATAAATAAAATCTTAAAAAAAAAAAAAAAAAAAAAATCTGAAAAAGCTGGAAGATGTTGCATCCGAAGTGGATTTTGAGAAAAAAAAAAAAAAAAAGTGGAATCCGAGTGCAGAGAGTACCATAACCAGAGGCAGACCAAAAAAAAAAGAAAAAAAACACAAACGGTATAAAGAGGAAATAAGGAGGGGGCATTAGGGCAAAAAAAAAAAAAAAAAAAAGACAGTAGGAGGAAATTTGGGAGAGAAACCTCAATTTGCCTATAAAAAAAATAAAAAAAATGTGGGTACCTGTGAGAAATAGTCAGATATACCAAGAAGGCACCAAAAAAAAAAAAAAAAATTATCCGTATGCAACTAAAAGTTTTAAAAATGAGACTCTTACAGGGGCGACTGGGTGGCTCAGATGGTTAAGCGTCTACCTTCGGCTCAGGTCATGATCCCAGGAAAAAAAAATAAAAAAAAGCATCGGGCTCCCTGCTCCTTGGGAGCCTGCTTCTCCCTCTGCTAAAAAAAATAAAAAAAACTCTCCCCCTCTGTCTCTCATGAATAAATAAATAAAATCTTTAAAAAAAAAAAAAAAAAAAACTCTTACGTAATTACAAACAACCACAACAACAAAGATCAAGGGAAAAAAAATAAAAAAAATATGAGTGTAGCCGAACATTTTTACAGAGTTTATTACTTTGGGAAAAAAAAAGAAAAAAAAATGTATCTGTGTAGGTGGTGGCAGGGAGCATACACATGCCACTGAAAAAAAACAAAAAAAAACCTATATTTTCAGGACACAGGAAGGAAATTAGAAGACACTTCAAAAAAAAAAAAAAAAAAAAAAAAACAAGAACTAGGAGCATTCAATGTAAAGAAAACTTTCAAAAAAAAAGAAAAAAAATCAGATAATAAGCTAACCCTTTCACTCCTTATTTCCCTCCCCTTAAAAAAAATAAAAAAAAATCTCTACTCCTCTTCTTCTCCTTAATATTGCCTACCAAGCCTCAAAAAAAAGAAAAAAAAACGTTACTTTTCCACTCCCGCCTAACCAAGGACTCACGTTTTTGAAAAAAAAAAAAAAAAATGCATACCACTCTTGGGAATAAAAGCACAGGATGACTCCATTGCAAAAAAAAAAAAAAAAACACACCATAACATTCCAAATTGGCCTTTTCCGACTGTCATTGACAAAAAAAATAAAAAAAACTAAAGTTAGAATGATTAAAAAAAAGATATATATATATATATAGAAAAAAAAAAAAAAAAAGGAAACAAGGGGCCTCAGATATGTGCTGTACTTATGTAATTATCAAAAAAAACAAAAAAAATGGGTATACAGGTTTATTCTGGCCACTGGTTCTGTAAGTAAAAAAAAAAAAACAAAAAAAAAAATTTATCAATTGGTGATTAACTGGAAATCAGAGAATATCCAGAAAAAAAAAAAAAAAAACATGGAATCATTCGTATTTGAACTTGTCCTTCCCTCCACCCACCAAAAAAAAGAAAAAAAATTTTCAGGGGTGAACACTGACAGTGCGGAAGTTGTTTATAATTTAAAAAAAATAAAAAAAAAGTGTTATCATTAGTCTTCAAGAGGCTATTTAAGTTCATTTCTCAAAAAAAAAAAAAAAAAATCCTGCGACAGAGCGTGGTTTAATTACTCAAAGTCAATGCTGTAAAAAAAAGAAAAAAAATGCCTTGAAATGGTATTGCTACAATCTAGCTGTCCACCCTGCCTTAGACTTCATTTTCTATAAATTTCTCTTTTAGCCGGATGCTTGGTACTCACAGCACGCCAAAAAAAAAACAAAAAAAAAACATGAAGAGCACGAAAAGCACTGGATAGAAAAAGCTCAAGCAAAAAAAAAGAAAAAAAACATGCACTATGGCAGAAACAGCAAAGACCGCTAACATGGCGGCCAAAAAAAATAAAAAAAAGAAAAACTAGGGTAAAAGGAGAATATGAAACAGTAATTTTTTAAAAAAAAAATAAAAAAAAACTAGATACAGCTGACCCTTGAACAACAGGGGTTTGAACTGCATAAAAAAAATAAAAAAAATAATACAGCACAGTACAGTAAATGTATTTCTCCTTATGACAATCTTATCAACATTTTCTTTTCTCTAGCTTACTTTACTGTAAGAATGCAGTATATAATACATAGAACACATAAAATGCGTGTTAACCAACTATTTACCTTATCAGTAAGGTTTCCAGTCAATTGTAAAAAAAAAAAAAAAAAGTTTTGGGGAAGCCAAAAAATTATATGTAGATTTTTTTACTGTGAAAAAAAATAAAAAAAACTACCCCCTTGTTCAAGAGTCAACTGTATATAAGACTTACAATTAAAAAAAACAAAAAAAACCTATTTAATTATGTTTATGTTTGATTTTTCCAATCTAGTCCTTAAAAAAAACAAAAAAAAGTAAATAATTACAAAAAACATCTATGCTTTCAAATCCTTATTTTACTAAAATGAGGTATTGTCAAAACCATGAATGTTGAAAGAACTGGGCATATTTTCAAAAACAAAAAAAAAAAAAAAAATTGTAAGTCACTACAGTAAACAAAACAGTTTTCACATATAAATGAAAAAAAAGAAAAAAAACCTTTAGAGTAACGCCGTATGGTGGATAAGGCAGGCATCTTCTCAAAAAAAACAAAAAAAAAGAAAGAAATCAACAGGCCGTGTCCGTAAGTGACACTACACTTAAAAAAAAAAAAAAAAAAGACTACAGCACTATTTGCACCATGTCTTGCTATCACTTAGCCAAAAAAAAAATAAAAAAAAAACTAAAACCTGCAATCCAGAGGGATAATCATTCATGACAGTCAAAAAAAAACAAAAAAAATGTTCTAAAGAATGTCTCAAAGACACATACCACCAGTTGGAAAGAAAAAAAACAAAAAAAAAGTGTTTCCTACTTTAGCAAAGAAACCAAAAAAACAAAAAAGCTAAAAAAAAAAAAAAAAATGGCAATGAGATTCGTAAGAAATGATCCATTACTGGTGGATCATTTCACCTTCTCTAGATGCCTCCATGCGTTCTTACTTCGTAATCATGTAAAATACAGCCCAGAAAAAAAATAAAAAAAATGAACAGTATGTATGGTGATGAGATCTAAGTATAAGCTTTCCTAAAAAAAAATAAAAAAAAGAGAACTGAAGACCACTTCCAGCTGCACAATAATAATACTTTCTAAAAAAAAAAAAAAAAATCCTGAACATCAACTCTATCTTGCCACTTACCCAGAGAAAGTCCAAAAAAAAAAAAAAAAACAACCAGTCATGAACCACCACATTCCAGGTCCTGTAATAGTTAGAAAAAAAAGAAAAAAAACACCAATCCTGAGGAAAAAAAGCAAAGATTTAGAACTACACATAAAAAAAAACAAAAAAAACTAATGCAAAACCCCGAGTATTCCTTTTTTTTTTTTTAAAGATTAAAAAAAATAAAAAAAAAGCGAGCGAGAGAAACAGCATGAGAGGGGAGAGGGTCAGAGGGAAAAAAAAACAAAAAAAAGAGCCGGGAGCCCGATGTGGGACTCGATCCCAGGACCCCGGGATAAAAAAAAGAAAAAAAAGCAGTCGCTTAACCGACTGAGCCACCCAGGCGCCCCACCCCGAGAAAAAAAAAAAAAAAAAGGCACACAACATAATATCCAGAGTGTGTCATGATAATTTGTTAGAAAAAAAACAAAAAAAAGAAAAATCTTAAATGGCATTTTGGTTATTAATGCTCAATATATGAAAAAAAATAAAAAAAAACAGATGATGAAGTCTGTAACTTCATTCTGTCTCATTATCAAAAAAAAAAAAAAAAAAAAAACAGAACATACAGAATCATTAAATCTAAGGTTCATCTAAATAGCAAAAAAAAAAAAAAAAAACCTTGCTAAAACACAGGGAGAGAATTCTAAGGTCCTATAGGCTAAAAAAAATAAAAAAAAAGAGCTGTCCCGCTGGTACCATAAACGACAAAATTTACACTGTAAAAAAAAAGAAAAAAAAGTTACCTGCAATAAATCCCTCCCTACTTTAGGATCAGACCCATGAAAAAAAACAAAAAAAATCTGCAACCCACACCCCGTTTCTCTGAGAAAGGAGTGGAAAGCTAAAAAAAATAAAAAAAAACTACAAACAAAACCCTAGAGGGCTTTAGGCAGGATTACAGAACAAAAAAAACAAAAAAAATCTTGTCTAGAACTTAATTCCAACTCTTTTAAGTATAATTAATGAAAAAAAAAAAAAAAAAGGGAAAAGTTATTTCCTGTATAAACTATTCAACAGTCTTAAATAAAAAAAAAAAAAAAAAACTATAGCACCAGACAGCCAATTTCAAATGAATGATCAGCAGAGTCTCATGATGCCCTGTGGACACACGCTTTCCCACCAATACAGGATCCAGTAGAAACCATGTGAAAAAAAAAAAAAAAAAGTATTAGAGGTAGAAGATAAGGCTATGAGGCTGTGCTAAGTATAAAAAAAAAAAAAAAAAAGACTTAATATCGGTAAAACTCATGGAAAAAGAACTTTGCAATGTAAAAAAAAAAAAAAAAATCAACAATGCTCAAATACTTAACAATGAGGACATAAGTGCATAAAAAAAAAATAAAAAAAAAGAGAAGGCCAAGTATACATCACCTTATAAAACATCCTGTCACCAAAAAAAAAAAAAAAAACAAAGGCATTGAGCCAGCAGTGCAAAAAGGCAAAAAACATGAGGAAAAAAAACAAAAAAAATAAAAATAAGATTAACAATATTAAAAGTCTTTCCAAATAGCTCAAAAAAAAAAAAAAAAAATATGTCATCACATGCTTAGCTGGAATTATTCTGTAAAATCAAAGAAAAAAAACAAAAAAAACCATTCAAGGGATGACACTGTGTTCTTTTGAAAGTTATTTTACTAAAAAAAAGAAAAAAAATCCAAGTGGGTTTTATTTTTTTTTTTTAAAGATTTTATTTATTTAAAAAAAAGAAAAAAAAACAGTGAGAGAGGGAACACAAGCAGGGGGAGAGGGAGAGGGAGAAAAAAAAATAAAAAAAAGCAGGGAGCCCGATGCGGGGCTTGATCCCAGGACCCTGGGATGGTGACCCTAGCCGAAGGCAGACGCTTAACAACTGAGCCACCCACGTGCACCATAGTGGGTTTAAAAAAAAAAAAAAAAACCAGCCTGTTTTTAATAGAAATGCCTAGCTCTATGGCTTAACTTAAAAAAAAAAAAAAAAAAAAATCTGACCCTCATGCATTCCTCTAAACCAGCGGCTTAAAACAAAAAAAAAAAAAAAAACCTAGAGAACATCTGACAATTCTGGAGACATCTTTCGTTGTCACAAAAAAAAGAAAAAAAACTGTACTACTAGTATCTAGTTTTTAGAGGCAAGGATATTGCTAAAAAAAAAATAAAAAAAAAAACAGCCCCCCAAAACACAGTTACCCAGCCCAAAATGTCCAGTAAAAAAAATAAAAAAAATCTCTCTTCCCAGTGTTGTAAACATCATCCATAACTGGACTTCTAAAAAAAAAAAAAAAAATATTCCTTTGCTTCCATCCCACTACCTAGAAGCACGTTTCCACTAAAAAAAAGAAAAAAAACTATTTTTCAATACCCAATATTAAATGTCATTTCCAATAATGATAAAAAAAACAAAAAAAATTTGTTTATCCTACTTAAGTAGTGTATACTATACTACATTGTAAAAAAAAAATAAAAAAAATATCCCTTTCATTCACCTGTTTATTAAAAAAATATCAAAGAATAAAAAAAAAGAAAAAAAAATGTATTAGACAATATGGGAAAGACTGTGGATGGCTGACTGGCTAAAAAAAACAAAAAAAAATCTCAAGGAATTTGCAGCCTAGTGAGGAAGACATGCATTTAATAAAAAAAATAAAAAAAAGACAGATAAAATAATCTATTGGAGTAAATCTTGGGGGGGGCAATAAAAAAAAGAAAAAAAAGAGTCTAGGAGAGAGGTTAAGGAAGAAAGAAGGTAACAGAAAACAAAAAAAACAAAAAAAAGGTAGAGGAAAAAGAAAAAGTAAGTAAAGGAAACTGTAAATTAAAAAAAAAACAAAAAAAAAGTAGAGAGCATTTATGTCTTCTTCACTGCTAGGTCCTCAGCACAAAAAAAATAAAAAAAACTCATGTATCTCCAGAAAAAAGTTAAGTGGAATGAATGAAGTTAAAAAAAAAAAAAAAAAACAGAAAGACAGGAGAATGAGTAGCAAGAGAGAGATTTCAAAATGAAAAAAAAAAAAAAAAAACAATGCTTCGTGGAGATGAAATAGAATAAGGGCTAAACCATCTAAAAAAAATAAAAAAAAGAGGTTACCAGTGATTTCAATAAAGGCCACATTAGTGGCCTGGTAAAAAAAAAAAAAAAAATACAATGAACTGAATAGTGAACAGGAAGATTAGTCATGAATATGAAAAAAAAAAAAAAAAAGAAAGCAAAACTTGGGTGAAAGAAGACAAACAGAAAGTTTGTCTAAAAAAAAAAAAAAAAAATACTCACTTATGAAATAGATGGAAAGAAGTCGAGAGGAGTATAAAAAAAAAGAAAAAAAAAGAGCAAAAAGCAGGAAAATCAAAGGTGTGCATGTGCAACAGCTAAAAAAAATAAAAAAAACATGAATGGCCAAATTAACCAGTACCCATGTTACCTGGGAAGATAAAAAAAAAAAAAAAAAGGACCAGAACACGAGCGCTGAAGGGCTCCTGTTTGATATTCCGAAAAAAAAAGAAAAAAAACCTTTCAAAGATGTAGTACACATAAAAAAAGCAACCAAAAACCTAAAAAAAAAAAAAAAAATAATTATAATACTGATGGCTTGATAAAGAAGATAGGTATGTGACAAAAAAAATAAAAAAAACATATATATTCCATTAATGTTAGTATATAAGATTGCCAAACTGCAAAAAAAAAAAAAAAAAACACAAGCTAGTTTCTATTATACCTTCTCTCCCAACCCTTTATCAAATGGCATACCAAAAGATGAGACTCTTGGAACCTGCTTTTCCTACTACATGAAACCCAGCAAAAAAAAAAAAAAAAAATAAATGCATATTTGACTGAGACAAGAGTTTAAAATGGGATCTTAAAAAAAATAAAAAAAAGATGGAGCGAGGCAGTGGGTGGTGATGGGGAAGACGTCAGACCAAAAAAAAACAAAAAAAACCCAAAACAAAAAAACGTAAGGAGAGGGGGAAATTAACATAGATAAAAAAAAAAAAAAAAAAATGGAATGACTTTAATTAAATTCTTTTACTGAAGGGAAATCACAAAAAAAATAAAAAAAAAAATACCATCTACTGTACTGGTAAAGAGTTTAAAAGACTTCAGAAAAAAAAATAAAAAAAACAGTAGACATGAATTTACCAACACTTTAAATAGATTAAATTATTAAAAAAAAGAAAAAAAATGTCCCACTAATCAACAAACCTTAGGTAAAGAAAAAATTCACCTGTAAAAACTGCATAGCAACATAACCCCACCTTACAGTGGGAGTCCTAAAAAGGAAGAAACAAAAAAAAATAAAAAAAAAAAGTAAGTAATTGAACTTTAATAAAGACCCTCACAATATTCTCAAAAAAAAGAAAAAAAAATTTTTGGCATAAGGAATGCCTGTAAAATTCTGTCAAGAATTACAAAAAAAAAAAAAAAAAGCTAGAATCACCATTTGGGACTTTCCCGTGCCAGAAAGAAGTTAAAAAAAAATAAAAAAAATTTGTAACCCTCTATGAACTGGCCCCTGCCTACTTATCCCACCAAAAAAAAACAAAAAAAACGGTGCTCAACACATTTCTGCTTCACAGAACAATTACCTGGGATAAAAAAAACAAAAAAAAAGGGTAGGTGCAAACAAAAAGTACAAGTACTGGTTGACTGTGGGAAAAAAAATAAAAAAAAGAAAAGAAAAAGTCTGGTTAGATCAGGCACTCTTCAATTTCTCCAAAAAAAACAAAAAAAAAGAAATAAGAAAGCATACAAATAGGGAAGAGTAAAAGGACTTCACTTAGCCCATATCATTTCTTCCTGATCTCCCAGAGTGACTTCTTATCCTTATATTGATTCAAAAAAAAAAAAAAAAAAAAACTAAGCTATTCCTGTGACTTAGAAATACCTTCTAGAGTTGAAAAAAAAAAAAAAAAAAATAAGCACACATGGGGTAATGAGTCTATTAATACATTATAAAAAAAAAAAAAAAAAAAAAAACTCTGGCAATCAGTGTTTTTAAACTGTAGGTACAAAGGCAAAAAAAAAAAAAAAAAAAAACAGTGAGATAGTCTTCCAAATCAATATGGATCCTCCATATTTAAAATCAAATATAATTTCTACAGAATGTAAAACACCATCCCACTAAATACCAAAGGTTGAAATAAAAAAAAGAAAAAAAATTGACCTAACGAATTTACATACTTGATTTCTCCTTAGCTGAATTAAAAAAAAGAAAAAAAATCTCTCTGACAAATGAATGGGCCTTCATTATGAAACGAATCTACAAAAAAAAGAAAAAAAAAAAGATGAATGTTCTACCATTGTCTTATCTCCTATAAGCAACCCAAAAAAAACAAAAAAAAATATAAAGAATTTCCTAATTTTGCAGACACCAACTCAAGTTCACAAAAAAAAAAAAAAAAAAATGAAAAACAAACTGTAAAGAAGGACATGTTATTACTCAAATTAAAAAAAATAAAAAAAAATTATCTATTACAGGTATATTACAATAAGAAATTAAAAGCCTATAAAAAAAATAAAAAAAAAGTCCTTCCCATTAGTCACACAGAGTATTAACAGACAGCCAACGAAAAAAAAAAAAAAAAAAAGGCTGTACAAACAAAATAAATCCTTTATTCAGATGGGACCAGAAAAAAAAAAAAAAAAATGAATCTGATAACCTCAAGGGTAGAGTTTTTAATTACAAAAATAAAAAAAAATAAAAAAAACTTCTACAAAGTGTTCAAGAATAAAATCTGAATCCATCCTAAACAGCTCAATATAATTTCATTACCAAGAATCAGAGAACACTGAAGCTAGTATGAATTTTAAGAAAAAAAAAGAAAAAAAATAAAACTTCAATTTTATAAACAATAGCACAAAGAACCAGGTAGAAAAAAAAACAAAAAAAATACGACTAAAAATAACAGAATGTCAGTATTATTATTTTAACAAAAAAAAAAACAAAAAAAAGCAACCCTCGAAACCTTACCTGTTCAAGTATAACAATGCAGCGGAAAAAAAATAAAAAAAAATATGCTAATACAATATATGTTGGTCCCGAACCTAGAACTCCAATCTGGAAGACCATGAAAAGAAAGCAATGGAAGAGAGAATAGATCACTGGATGAGAACTCTTAAAAAAAACAAAAAAAAAACGTTGGAAGAGGAAATAGGGAACGGCAAGTGTACTCAAGAACATAGTCCACCATGTCCACATAACAATGGGAAGTTTGCCAAAAGCGTAAGACAAGAGATTGAAAAAAAAAAAAAAAAAAGGGAGAAAAAGCACAGAGAAAGAGCACAGAAGTGAATTTTTAATAAAAAAAAAAAAAAAAAACTGAAAACTTTTCACACCTAAAACTCTCAACCTTAGAAAACACAAAAAAAATAAAAAAAAGTGGTCATGAGGGTAATAGTTGTGCAAGAGGGAGAGGTGCTTCTAAAAAAAAGAAAAAAAATATATCCCAACAATAAATCTTCTAAAAGCCCTAAGATAATATAGAAAAAAAACAAAAAAAACCCAAGATAACCTAAAATAATAAAACTTTTAAGCTTCGCAGTGATTAGATTCTAACATTAATAAATTTTAAACTCTAAGATACACTCATACATAAAGTATTCAAATAGCAAACACTGCTGTGTCCAAAAGATGATTTTTCAGAAGAATAATTCAAAAATCTACTAAAAAAAAAATAAAAAAAAATCTCAAAATGTAATTTTCTAATAATGCACATAAGTTGGTGTATAAAAAAAACAAAAAAAATTATTTTATTTTTAAGATTTTATTTATTTATTTGACAGAGAGAGAAAAAAAAGAAAAAAAAGAGAAGGAGAAGCAGGCTTCCCACTGAGCAGGGAGCCCGATGCAAAAAAAAATAAAAAAAACCTGGGATCATGATCTGAGCCGAAGGCAGACACTTAACGACTGAGCCACCCAGGCACCTCACCACACTGTCATTTTTAAAGTTAAATTTCATTTTTATATTAAAAAAAAAAAATAAAAAAAACGCCTGGGTGGCTCAGTTGGTTGGGTGTCCCGACTGTTTCAGCTAAAAAAAAGAAAAAAAAGTCCTGGGATCAAGCCCTGACTCAGGCTCCACGGTCAGCGGGGAAAAAAAAAGAAAAAAAATCTCTCTCTCTCTCTCTCTTCCTCTCCCTCTGCCCCACCCCCTAAAAAAAAACAAAAAAAAGTGCTCTCTCTCTCCCTAAAATATAAATCTTTTTAAAAAAAGTTAAAAAAAAAAAAAAAAATAATAAGCTACTTATTTTCACTATCAACCTGAAATGCACACCTTAGTGGGAAAATTGGTAAATTGTATATACAAAATTCTCCCATTTAGGAAAATTACCTAGAAAAAAAAAAATAAAAAAAATTAAAATAGACCATTTTCAAAATAAAATGGGGGCGCCTGGGTGGAAAAAAAATAAAAAAAATGCCTTCAGCTCAGGTCATGATCCTAGGGTCCTGGGATCGAGCCCCACACATTGGGCTCCCTGCTCCGCGGGAAGCCTGCTTCTCCCTCTCCCACTCCCCCTGCTTGTGTTCCCTCTCTCGCTGTGTCTCTCTCTGTCAAATAAATAAAATTTTAAAAATAAATAAATAAATAAAAAGAAAAACTTCTAATATTCCTTTTAGTTTTGCTTTTAGGGAGAGAGGAGTAAAAAAAAACAAAAAAAAGCTTTGGGCTTTTCTGAAGCAAATTTACCCAAATCACCAAAATTAAAAAAAACAAAAAAAACATGAAAACTCCCGACACGCTATTCATCAACGAGCCGAACGTCCAAAAAAAACAAAAAAAACTTCATCAATGTAATCTACAACAAGTGTGCTGAGGATAAAGAGAAAAAAAAAGAAAAAAAACATGTGATATATTGTTCTGATGTGGTCCACCTCAAACAGCTCACAAAAAAAACAAAAAAAACAAATACAATTAATTATATCGCATTTTAAAACACCACATATTAAAAAAAAAAAAAAAAAAAAGCAGATGCAGACCCACCCTCAAATAGTAATCATGAGCAAACATAAAAAAAAGAAAAAAAAGAATATCAAACCTGAAGCACAGACCGTAAATGACATGACTAAGCAAAAAAAATAAAAAAAAAGGATAAGGCTCTTTCCAGTAAAATGATACTGGCCCCTAGAAAAAAAAAAAAAAAAAAAAAACTTAAAACAAATGGGGAGCATTCTTGAAAACCTGCCAGAAGTGAAAAAAAATAAAAAAAACAAAAGGCACTGAAAACAGGAAACACAAAAGCTATCCCAAATGTAAAAAAAATAAAAAAAATAATCCTATTACATTCTACTCCCTATACTTAACTACTATTAAGTAAAAAAAACAAAAAAAAAAGATTCACATGTATGCTTTTCTATAATGCAACTACCACCCTACAAAAAAAAAAAAAAAAACATTTACAAATGTTTTTACTTTCTATCCTCACTGATCTTTATATAAAAAAAAAAAAAAAAAACTTCCAAAATATAGCAACAACTTTCCAGATGATGTTTCTTAAAAAAAAAAATAAAAAAAACTAAAACAAGTTTTTTTAGCTTTGCTTTTGCAAAGATGTATGCTAAAAAAAACAAAAAAAATTTTCAAGGATATCTTAGATTGCCCTGGATTAACGATCTTCAAATTCTAATAAAAACCGACCTGAGCCATAAAATATGTGTTTTATTTCCTTGATTAAAAAAAAAAAAAAAAAGAAAAAAAAAGATGGTTCAGTCAGTTAAGCATCCATCCAACTCTTGGTTTCAGAAAAAAAAAAAAAAAAAGGAGTTGTAGGATCTAGCCTTTCTTTTTAGCCATTCTTTTATTTAAAAAAAATAAAAAAAATAAATTCAATTAGCCAACATATAGTACAACATTAGTTTTTGATGTAGTGTTCAATGATTCATCAGTTGTGTAGAACACCCAGTGCTCATCAATTCACTTGCCCTCCTTAATGGCCATCACCCAGTTACCCCATCCCCCCCACCCACCTCCCTTTCCACAACCCTCAAAAAAAAACAAAAAAAAAAGATTCTGTCATGGTTTGTCTCCCTCTCTGACTTCTTCCCATTCAGTTTCCCCTCTCTTCCCCTATCATCCTCTGCACTATTTCTTATATTCCACACATGAGTGAAACCATATTAATTGTCTTTCTCTGACTTATTTCGCTCAGCATAATACCCTCCAGTTCTATAAAAAAAAAAAAAAAAAGTAAGTATTCATCCTTTCAGATGGCTGAGTAATATTCCATTCTAAAAAAAAACAAAAAAAACTTTATCCATTCATCTGTTGAAGGACATCTCAGCTCCTTCCAGTAAAAAAAATAAAAAAAATGCTGCTATGAACATTGTGGTGCAGGTGCCCCTTCTTTTCACTAAAAAAAAATAAAAAAAATAAATACCCAGTAGTGCAAGTGTTGGGTCACAGGGTAGCTCTATAAAAAAAATAAAAAAAAAACCTCCATACTGTTTTCCAGAGTGGTTGCACCAGCTTGCATTCAAAAAAAAAAAAAAAAAGGGTTCCCCGTTCTCCACATCCTCACCAACATTTGTTGTTCCCTAAAAAAAAAAAAAAAAACATTCTGACTAGTATGAGGTGGTATCTTGTGGTTCTTTTTAGCCAAAAAAAACAAAAAAAAGCAGGCAGGGCTCTGTGCTTAGCAGGGAGTCTGCTTCCCCTGCTAAAAAAAACAAAAAAAAAACTGGCACGCACTCTCTCTCTCTAAAATAAATAAAATCTTTTTTAAAAAGTTTTGTAATTGAAGTACACTTGAGGGGCACCTGGGTGGCTCAGTGGGTTAAGCATCTGCCTTCAGCTCAGGTCGTGGTCACAGGGTCCTGGGATAAAGCCCTGCCTCGGGCTCTCAAAAAAAAGAAAAAAAAGCTTCTCCCTCTCCTCCCTGCTCCTTCTCTATCTCTGTCTCTCTAAAAAAAAAAAAAAAAAAATCTTTAAAAAAAAAAGTATTTTTCATATAGTACAATTCTATCAAAAAAAACAAAAAAAAAATGTTCAAAATAATTTATTTTCCCCTGCCTACATTTCCCCACCAAAAAAAATAAAAAAAATAAAAGTTAAAATTTCTTCAAACAATAGTGTGGCAAAACACTAAAAAAAAAAGAAAAAAAATAACATGTTCAGAAAATTTTGGCCTTCTCATCGAATATAAAGTTAAAAAAAAGAAAAAAAATTTTGATAAGCATAAAATGTATTGTTTTAAAAAAGCACATTAAGAAAAAAAAGAAAAAAAATCACCAGCCCAACTATTTCAGATGCCCTATCCTAATGCAGGTGAAAAAAAAACAAAAAAAAGAGGAATGACTGAGTAAATAAATAAATGATCTACTCAGAGAACCAAAAAAAAGAAAAAAAAATTACCTACCTACAGCACACCTATTTCAGTTCACAAGTGAGGTCAAAAAAAATAAAAAAAAGTGCCTAATTTTCTTCAAAAAATTCACATAATCAAGGTTCTAAAAAAAAAAAAAAAAAAAAAACTGTCAAGTTTCTAAGCTGGCTAGCCAAAGAAGAGATGAAAAAAAAAAAATAAAAAAAAAAGGTAGCAACACCAAAACACTTGTGAAGGGGTTTACTTAATTAAAAAAAAATAAAAAAAACTTTTTGGGTAATCAATTCTCTGCATTGCAACTTCAAGAAATTTAAAAAAAAAAAAAAAAACATGCTCATTCTAACTCCCCTTTGAAACTAGATATAGAACCAGAAGATCACAAAGGAGGACCAAGAGACAGCAAATGTACAAGAAGTTCCAAAACTAATGATTTCTATGAATTCAGAACTCATTAAATATGCATAAATTAAGCAGTGATTTTAGTAATCAGAACAGAAAAAAAATAAAAAAAATAATTAATAAAAGCAACTGAAAATACTCACTCTAAGAGAGACTGAAAAAAAACAAAAAAAATTCCATGTTCTGGAGGTGCTCTCAAATCTCTGGGAAGAGCAAAAAAAAAAAATAAAAAAAATTCAAGTATTTTAAGAAATTTAAACCTATGGATAAGAGAAAGAAAAAAAAAAAAAAAAAAATATAACGTTAATAAAGCACCTTCTCACTCTGACCCAGTACTATGAAAAAAAATAAAAAAAAGTTATCTCATTTACTCCTGAACAATGCAATGAGATAGATACATGAAAAAAAAAAAAAAAAAAAGAGATGTTAGGCACACCTTAGGAGAGCAGCGCTCAAAGGTACAAAAAAAACAAAAAAAAATGGAAATGCATTCCTGGCATCACACACTGACAACCCCTTTTCCAAAAAAAAAAAAAAAAAAAGGTCAGAGACAGGCCTCTAGCCATACTCCAGTTCACAGGCTGAAAAAAAACAAAAAAAAGCACTAAAATTTATGAGACCTTCACCCTCCCTAATGTCAAAGGAAAAAAAAAAAAAAAAAACAATCTCCTGATCTTAAAGGTTGCCTCCACTTCCTAATATCTCGAAAAAAAAAAAAAAAAAATTATTATCATTTTTAGGGCTTTCTGCACAATCACCCACACTTCAAAAAAAAAAAAAAAAACAAAACTGTCCTCCGGAATAGAAGTGACTGCCAGAGACCACTGGGGCATAAAACTGAAGAGAGCACAGAATGGCAAATTAGCACATATGGGCCTCTGATAGCTTTAAAAAAAATAAAAAAAATGCCTGACCAATTAGAAACATGGACCCTAACTGTACTGTGCTTTAAAAAAAATAAAAAAAAGAGTACAACAGGGAGGCACTACAATGATGTGGTGAAGGGCATGAAAAAAAAAGAAAAAAAATGGGTTCCAATACCCACTGCGTGATCTTGGACACGTAACTGTCCAAAAAAAAAAAAAAAAAATCTGTAGCATGAGACTGTTAGGGTATCTACCTCACGGGGTCATAAAAAAAAAAAAAAAAAACTCAACAAGTGTTGGCTCTTTTATTTTATAAGTCAGCATAGTCAAAAAAAAGAAAAAAAATTGTTATAATCCTCATATTAAGATGAAGAAACCCCCCTTTCAAGAAAAAAAATAAAAAAAAGCAACACAGAGCTAATAAAAAGTGGTGCCAGGGTGTGAATCCAGGCATTTTTACTGCAGTCGGGATTCTGACCACTGAGTGTTATCAGAGTTCATGTTTGCACTAAAAAAAAATAAAAAAAATACTTACTTAGCTCTGTGGTTGCTCTCTCCTTCAAGAACAGAAAAAAAAAAAAAAAAAAAACCACCATTGTCTAATGATGCTGATTTTTCAATGAGATTGGTCACAAAAAAAACAAAAAAAATGCCAACTTCCTTCATAAAAAATGGCTTCAATTCCTAGAATTTTAAAAAAAAAAAAAAAAACATCAGGAACACATGGATTATTAACATTTTTCCAAAGGATTCTCAAAAAAAAAAAAAAAAAAAAAGAAATCCACGTTAAGTCAGCTCACAGAAGTAAAAACAGAAAAAAAAAATAAAAAAAAAAGCTGCAATTTCAGAAATGGCTACTGAAAAAGCAACATGCTGAAAAAAAAATAAAAAAAAATTTAGACCCTTTTATGCATAAATCAAAATATCAAGTAATCTCCAAAAAAAAGAAAAAAAAGAAAGATAAATAAAAACAAAGTAACAAAAATGGTAAAACTGACAAAAAAAAATAAAAAAAAATTTTTATCTGGAAAAGAACAAAAAGAAAAAGGTCAGTATTATAAAAAAAAAAAAAAAAAAAAGTCCCTTTCCTTCTCAAGCCAACCCTGCACCGCCCCCCACAAGTACCCACTATTTATATTTTAGGTCATGTCATTTCTGTATGATACCAACATTTATACGATGTTTATTACACACACACACACACAGACACACACTTTCAAAACATAAAATTGTTATATTTTGGTCCCAAACTATGTGTAACATCTTAAAACTTATATAGCCAGTTTTTTAAAAATGTGAAGCAAAAAAATTATTTCTCTTCAGGTTTTAACAGGCCACCTACTATAGGTATTCAAATTGTAAAGTTGAGTATTTTAGAATTGGTAGGACTCATCTACATAAAGGAAAACGAAGTCTTTCAAACGTTAAAAAAAATAAAAAAAAATTTCTCTAAATTGTTTAGATTGAACCTAAACAGAACGTCTAGGAAAAAAAATAAAAAAAATTTGACTGACTTTTTAAAAAGTAAAGCCTAAAAATATCAATATAAAAAAAAAAAAAAAAAAAAGGCTTTTCAAACTGAGACAAGGGAACTAGAGGACCCCATGAAAAAAAAAATAAAAAAAATTTTTCCTGCTTCTGTTCTTGCAAGAACCCACATCCCCACCTCAAAAAAAAATAAAAAAAAAGATAATGTATGTCCTCCTTGTGTAGGTCAAGGAGTTAATGATTAAAAAAAAGAAAAAAAACACAATAGATAACACCTAAGGAGTGACCTGGTGGGGTCGTCATGAACCTATCATGAACATTTTTCCAAGACCGTTGGGGTCCAGGGCATAAGTGACTTAGGACACAAAAAAAAGAAAAAAAAAAAACCTGAGAAGATATGTCACCAGACCACAATCCTCAATAAAAAAAAAAAACAAAAAAAAAAGACAAGACTCACTCCTTTTTCCTTTCAGAGTCTCCCAGATACAAAAAAAAAAAAAAAAATTTTTTTTTTTAAAGATTTTATTTATTTGAGAGAGAGAGCACAAAAAAAAAAAAAAAAAAAGCATTCGGAGAGGGTGAAGCAGGCTCCCCACTGAGCAGAGCCTGAAAAAAAACAAAAAAAAAGGACCCCAGAATCATGACCTGAGCCAAAGGCAGACACTTAACCAACTAAGCCACCCAGGTGCCCCTACATTCTGTGTCTTCATAAACTTCGGCTCTCACTTCCTAAAAAAAAAAAAAAAAATTCTACACGAAGCCAAAGACCCTCTTGGCTGGTCCTATCCTCGGAAAAAAAAAAAAAAAAACAAAACTGCTACATCTCCCACAGTTCCCAAATGCCTTTTGGGTCAAAAAAAATAAAAAAAAACCAGAATCCCAGCTCCCACAAGAGAGTGGACAGAGATGGAAAAAAAAAAAAAAAAAAAAATAAACAATACACAGTAGACTACGTTAAGTGTCACCTGAGCAGTAAAAAAAAAAAAAAAAAAAAAAAAAGGAACTAGGAGATGACTCGAAGTGTCTTTTTTGAGCTAAAAAAAAAAAAAAAAACTCAAAAACACAGGAAGAATTAAGATTAAGTTAAAAGTGGTAGAAAAAAAAAAAAAAAAAAAAAGCAGAGATAGGAAAGTATTAGCTAAAACAGGAAATGTGAACAAAAAAAAGAAAAAAAAACAAAATATAGAGGACCTATGTTCCCTAGAAGAAAGAATATAGAAAAAAAAAAAAAAAAAATTCATATTAAGGTTACCTAGTAATATTTTATTTTACTTCTTTTGAAAAAAAAAAAAAAAAACTATGTCTATCCTCACATTTCGATATTTTTCAATAGGATGCTTCAAAAAAAAAAAAAAAAAACCAAAACAAAAAAAAGTGACAAACAAAAAAAGGTGCGTTCTCAAAAAAAAACAAAAAAAAGATGGATTAATAAAGATTCCCCCACCCCGCAGCTTGTTATGAAAAAAAAAAACAAAAAAAAGGGAAGTGCTAGTTCTGGGCACAGTTGTTCTAGGCACGAGATACAAAAAAAAAAAAAAAAAGTCCCCGTCTTCATGGAACTTAAAATTCCAATGAGGGTAGATAGAAAAAAAAGAAAAAAAAAGGGTGTTACAGAAAGAAATAATGCAGAGGTATGGGGGGTGGGGAAAAAAAATAAAAAAAAGGTCAAAGGAAAGCCTCAAAGACAGCATGACATTGGAGATTTGAAAAAAAAAGAAAAAAAAGTTAGTGGATATCTGTGGGAAAAGTACGAGGAAGAAAAAAAGCATGAGTGTAAAAAGCCCTGAGGCAGGAACCCTGGACAGGTTTGAGAAACTATAAGGAAGGAGGATGTCAAAGCTGAGGAGGAGTGGCAAGACCTGAGGTCAGAAAAGGAGGAGGGGATGGGGCACCTGGCTGGCTCATTTGGTAGAGCAAGTAACTTTTGATCTTGGGGTCGTGAGTTCAAACCCCACATTGGAAGTATAGCCTACTCTAAAAGAATAATTAAAAAATAATAAAAATAAAGAAAGAAAAAAAAGAAAAAAAAGGGCTAAATCATGTAAGGTTTTAACACTTTGCTCCCTACTCCCAAAAAAAAACAAAAAAAATACTCAGCATTAAAAAAGAGGCCTGGAGTCTTGAGACATGGCAAAAAAAAAACAAAAAAAATCTTTTAGCTAGTATTCCTCATACTCTGCAACCAGTCTCCTTCCAAAAAAAATAAAAAAAAAAGCAGACCAGAAGCATGAAAAAAAAAATCATAATAAATGTTACAAAAAAAACAAAAAAAACTGTTAAAAATCAGGTCCTGAGGCGCCTGGGTGGCTCAGTTGGTAAAAAAAATAAAAAAAACTCAGGTCATGGTCCCGGAGTCCCGGGATCGAGTCCCGCATCGGAAAAAAAACAAAAAAAAGAGTCTGCTTCTCCCTCTGACCCTACCCCCTCTTGGGCTCTCTCAAAAAAAAAAAAAAAAACTCTCTCTCTCAAATAAATAAATAAAATCTTAAAAAAAAAAAAAAAAAAAAACAAAAAAAAGCAACTCAAGGTGAAGAGCACACAGCCAACATCTTCCGCACAAGAAAAAAAACAAAAAAAAACTCACCTGAACAGGAGCCTTTGCCTTACGCTCCAGAACTTGCAAAAAAAAATAAAAAAAAGAGAACACCTACAACAACCTCCCCACCCTCACCCTCTTTATCAAAAAAAAAATAAAAAAAACCCCTTCCTTCTATTCCCTTCCTTTTGCTCCATATTCCAAAACCAAAAAAAATAAAAAAAATCCGGTCACTCCACAAATAAAGAGTATCCCTTGTTATCCCAACCAAAAAAAAAAAAAAAAAAACCAAACAGATCTGGACGACAAGGAGTATTTGTATTCAGCACCAAAAAAAATAAAAAAAATACACACAGCCCTGCTCTCACTGAGCTCACCGCCCATCAATAAGAAAAAAAACAAAAAAAACATGGTGCAGGGAATGCCACCAGGCATTCAAAGTGACAGAATGGAAAAAAAAAAAAAAAAAAGTAAAAGAATAAAAATCACAGGCATCTCAATAGCGTGAGGGCCAGTAGAGGGTGGTGCAGATGTCAAGTCTCCTTGTAACTTCCTTTCACAACTGCCCCCCACCAAAAAAAAAAAAAAAAAACCTCTCACACCCGGGACAGGACAGAACACTTCCCAAGTGTTACAAAAAAAACAAAAAAAATATTCCCTACCCTGTGCCTTTGATTCCCGGGACTTACTCATTCCAAAAAAAAGAAAAAAAAGTCTCCCTCTCCCCTTCACCCATTTTGCCCATCGCCCCACCCTTAAAAAAAATAAAAAAAACCCCATTTTTTAAATAAGCAGCTGAACTGGACAACCTCTAATATAAAAAAAATAAAAAAAAAATCACCATGAAGCAAAGATGCTACGGTCCAAACACTTAGTGAAAAAAAAAACAAAAAAAAAGAGATGAGGCTGAAGAAGCAAATGGGCTACAACATGACAGACCAAAAAAAAAAAAAAAAAATTTTTCATTTTCTCTTAAAGGGCAACTGGAAACCAATGATGTTAAAAAAAAAAAAAAAAAAAACATGCTCAGATCTGCATTTTAGAAAGATAATTCTTCTAAAAAAAAAAAAAAAAAAAAATTACCTTGAACTGAGTCTTAAAATGAGAAAAGAGGAGGGTCATTAAAAAAAAGAAAAAAAAATCCTTTCAAAGGCAGAGAGGCATGAAAAAAAAAGTAGACTGAGAAAAAAAAAAAAAAAAAACATATACAGAGTACAGTGTATAAAAAATTATACTCTGACTCCAAAAAAAAATAAAAAAAACTAGGCCATGAACTAACTACTTGTTCCTCTGACTCACTGCCTGGAAAAAAAAAAAAAAAAATTTAACCCCACAGTGGCGTGGAACCAGAAGCCAGACCTTTTTGGAAAAAAAAGAAAAAAAAACAGAACAGGTTTAGGTCTTAAACTAATTCAAGAGAGGTTTCCCAAAAAAAATAAAAAAAAAGCTACTGCATCTCATTCATTTCTTTCACTGCACTTAATACCATAAAAAAAACAAAAAAAATTCTATTTTTTGATGTCTTAATGTCTGCCTCCCCCACCTGACTTAAAAAAAAAAAAAAAAATGTTAACCACTGTACATCTAGCTCTCAGCAAAGCAACTGCTAAGACTGTAGATGTTAGTGTATTTCAAAACAGCTTTTGAAACCAACCCCTGACACTGAAACTCCAAAAAAAACAAAAAAAAGACTTTACTCAACGTCTATCATAAAGCAGAAAGTACTTGTCTAAAAAAAAAACAAAAAAAAGATTTCTTTCTAAAAGCTATGAAGGAAAAGGGACTAAAAATCACAAAAAAAACAAAAAAAAGTAATGGCTGGGATTTATTCAATGTCTGTGACTGCTAAATGCCAAAAAAAAAGAAAAAAAATTTTATATATTAGTGCTAGTCCTAAAACAATCTTTGTGAAGTAGAAAAAAAAAAAAAAAAACTACCTAAGACAGATCCAAACTTGAACAAATCAAGTAATGTGACTTGCCCAAGGTCACAGAACCTGTAAGCTGTCTAACTAGGATGAGAACCCCCAGTCTAGATGAAAAAAAATAAAAAAAACATTATACTGCTTTCCACTGTACTTGATCCAAAACATTTTCTATAAAAAAAATAAAAAAAACCAAAAGTAAAACCTAAAAAAAAAAAAAGTCAACAATGTGCGTGAAAAAAAAAAAAAAAAAGTAATCTAATAAATTAGTCCTATCACAAACATTTCATTTGAATGAAAAAAAATAAAAAAAATTTACAGTCATCAATAGTGCACTGTAATAAACTCCACATTTAAAAAAAAAAAGAAAAAAAAGTTTGGAAGTTAAGTCTTGAGCATAACTATTGCATAATCCTTAAAAAAAAAAAAAAAAAAAGCCAAAGGTTCAAGATAACCCAGCAACTAATGAAATTAGAGCTCAAAAAAAACAAAAAAAACTCAGTCGTTGTGTCTGCCTTTGGCTCAGGTCATGATCTTGGGGAAAAAAAAAAAAAAAAATGCATTGGGCTCCCCACTGAGCAGAGCCTGATGTGGGGCTC